CGCGTTTGACGACGGGAAGCACAGAGTTTATACCTCCCACCGATAGAGATAGAGCTGCAGTAGGCTTGTGGTTTCGGCATTATATGGCTAGAGCGATATATTCTAGACGCTGCCTACCTGCATCCGCGTTATGAAAGTATCCATTGTTAATTGGTAAGTCAAATGCAAGTTTTGTTAACATATATACTCCTTTTGGTTTGAAAATGTTTGGTTAAGTACCTAGAATTCAATAATTTGTTGTTTGTAGGTTTTAGATGTGTAGGAAGTCTTGTTTGAGCAAATGTTTGGTTTTTGTAGGTTAATCCTTAAGTGAGCTGCGTGAAATGGATGTACGGGTGTAAAAGTTGATTCATTGATTCAATAATTGATGAGAAAATAAGAATTATTATTATTTTTTGATTGTTTAATTGATTTGTAAAAAATGATTTGTAAATATTGATTTGTTTAATTGGTGTGTACATAATTTTTATTTGTGCTTGATTAATTGATTGAAATGTAATAGTTGATTTGTTGATTTTCAATCTGCATTATGTTGAAGGCAAAACAGACTATCGCAACACAAAACTGACTATCGCAACGAGAAAATCGCAATGCGAAATGAAAATCGCAACGAGAAAATCGCAACGCGAAATGAAAATCGCAACGAGAGAATCACAACGCGAAATGAAAATCACAATGCGATTTTGGTTTCGCGTTGCGATTCTCTCGTTGCGATAGTTATTTTCGCGTTGCGATTTTCATTCTCGAAACTATTATTCTTCTGCATTACTTCAACCAAAAGACAAAACAAAGACAAATACTAACTTCACATGCTAAACAGTTTAGCAGTATTGGCAGCAATCGAATGAATTTAATAAGAAATCTAAGTGAAATGGTTAATCTATTATTGAAATTACCAGTAAACTTATCATCAGTCTCAATATGAAAAACCTAAAATAATGCAAAAATTTCAACAACAAAAAAAACTAACCCTCGGAGGTTGATTTTCTATTTCTGAATGATTGTGATGGATTTCTGACCGTGAATGGTTGTGAGGGATTTCGCCGGCGATGGGGACGGATTTCGCCGTAGAGAGTGAGAGATGGAGATGGGACTGAGTGTTGTGATTTTAGGTTTGAGGTTATGAGTTGCGATTACTGTGGACGGTTCAGTTTCCGATATATTAAGAAAAAATTCGTGTTTGGAATTTGAAAAAAAAAATACGCGTTAATACGAATGGCGCTATGTAAATCGCATTGCGATAGTAAGATTCGCATTGCGATTTACGTATTCGCATTGCGATTTTCCTAATTCGCATTGCGATTTGCTTAATCGCGTTGCGATTTACGTATTCGCATTGCGAATTATGAAAATCGCAATGCGAATACGTAAATCGCAATGCGAATTAGGAAAATTGCATTGCGATAGTCAGTATCGCATTGCGATTTTTCAAATTCGCATTGCGATTTACTTATTCGCATTGCGAATTGGGAAAATCGTAACGCGAAATTGGAAAATCGCATTGCGATTGTCATAATCGCGTTGCGAATATGGAAACTGATTTGCGATAATGGAGATCGCGTTGCGAATTAGCGATCGCATTGCGATTTTGTTGGTCATTTTGGCAAATCCGGAAAAAGTTGGTTAAAATCGTATATCATATGTGATTTTTGGTCACTGAAGTTATTTTCTCTTTATTAAAATCAATAATTCGGTATTTCATCAACATATTACATGATTGTTAAACGATCTATCTATTTTAATTTTATATAAATTATCTATCTACTTTCTAAATATTTTTATTATATCTAAATCGATAAATTCATTAATTACTTTCGTCAAAAATAATAATTTAAATTTAAAAAAACTTCTTTAGACGTAATATTTAAATCTATTATTGTTTTCAAAGTATGTTTAGATAGATTTCCATGACTCCTATTTTTTTGACAATATTATCACTTTAACAATATAAAGTAATGATGTAATTAATTTAAATTCACTAAGAGGGGTTTATGTAAAATGGAAAATAAAGAGATTAAATACTTTATTTCAGTATAAAGAGATTTAATTCCACTAAGACGGTCGAATGACCGTTGAGAGGGAAATTAGACGGCACTTTTTGTTGTAGCTAGTCAAGAATTCATCAAACGGTCACGATGTAATCGCACGAATCAGTTTGAGTATGGACGTGCCACATCATATCTTGCCTGGGTTCTAATGCAAGTCACCTCGAGTAGGACCCACACGTGGCGGCACCACTTTGGGTCTCAGTCTTACACAACGTTAATATATAACGGTTAAATTTCTGATTTTTAACCAATCGTTTCATTAGTTGGTTGACATTTTCTTAAAAAGATATTTAAATAATAGATTTGAGTTAAAATAATATTGCGTATAATTCTTAGTTCAGGAGAATGTGTAGCAGTTTAATGATATATTTTAATACAAAATTAATTATTTTTTAAACACGGTAAGTAACTTGTTAATTTTTCGAGTTGGTTCCATTTAATTATGATAATATTCCAAAAGGGGAGTTAAGACAAAGACGAGTCATTACATTAAATTATGGGATGTTAAAATGGTTTGAAAATGAGTGTATTACTTTTGTTTTGTGGGTTGGAAAGACGGTTGGAGGGGAATTAAGAGTATTGTTCTTTAAGCCTTTGTGCATTATTGCACCAATCATTCACGGTCCCTTTCATGGTTTTATCATTCACCCAAGGTGCTAGTGGTTTGTCTACCGTTATTCACTAAACGAGTCTTCAATTGGTATTCGATAAATTAAGAATTTCTTTAAAGTGATATTTTTTCGACTCTGAATTAGAATTGGATCTAAGTTAATGATTTTGATAAATTACTAAGATAATATTTTTTTCGAAGATCGTTACTTAAATTTATGATTTCTTTAATGTTATAAATTAATAAGTTTATAAACTTACAAAAATAATTAGTACAACTTAGTGAAAAATGATTTTTATTGTTGTTTTTTTGGATACATTTTAGATGTGTATTTAAGGTTGGTTGGTTTTGATTTGAATTGACTAGTTAAAAATGTTTGATTTTGTTTTAGATAGTGGTTGGTTTTTTACCATGCATAAATTTACATTAAGGGTCCGTTTGTTTTACTGAAAACAGTTTACGGAAAATGAAATCTAAAAAATGTTTTACAAAAATGTAAATCATTTTCCAGAAAACAATATTTTTCAGTGTTTGGATGATAAATTATAAAATGTTTTACACTGTTTGGGTAATTTTCCTGAAAACTGTTTTCAGAAGCTGTTTTTAACGAATAATATGTAAATATTGAATATGTTTTATTATTTATTATTTTTTAAAGTTTCATTTTTTATATATAATTATATTTTATAAAAATACATATTTTAGATAATATTAATAATTTATTAAAATATATTATAAAAGTTTATAAATCCTAAGAATGTTTAATTAATAGTACACCAAATTAAAACAACAATAATACATAACATTGTACTAATAATAATATTGTCAAAATATATAATTAAAGGGTTTATCACATTTAAACAACAATAATATTCAACCGTAATAATACATAGTCTAATTCATAATTAGTGCTACAACACATCAATCCAACATAGTAGAGCTAAAATATTGTCTAAGCCATAAATAATAATACACCACAGTTTAAAGTTCACATCTTAACCTTGAGAAAACTTCTGAAGCCAATTTTTCCTATGCTTTGTTTTTTTAGCCAATAAAACTTTGGCCTCAAGCTCATTCTTGACTAGAAAATCGAAACGCTCACAAAGAAAGTCGTCACCAAAACTGTCTGCAGTAAAAAATGATTGTACATTGTGTGAGATAACCTTTACAGCATTTCAATTAATCATTATTCATGTAAGGCAATATCAACTTCGGTATTAATGGTCAAGTTCAGAGCACAATTTGGATGAAAAAGCAAGATTGAAGACACAATTGTTACTGGACGATGTGGGATCCATATGGGATGAGAAACAATCCTGTTAACGACTATCAAAGAGGATTCTTCTTCCATGTGACAAGAAAAAGGAAATACCTTACCACTGGAAAACCCTTTATTTTAGAAAAGATAAAGCAATTATCAATTAACCTACTCGGAACAACCAAAGTATTCCACAACGACATAATTTGCCACCCTCTGGTTGTCCTTGGCCTTTTAAGCTATGTTTAAGTTCATGTTCTTGCTTGTCATTATTGTTTCTACGAGACCACCCTATCTTACCCAAGTTTTAAGATGCTCTCAGTACGCTTAAAATCATTTTTCCAAATAGCACTTATAGACTACTCATATGAACAAAGCAGAGTTTCGATCGAAACAAGATGATAATGAACAAAAGCTTAAATCCAATGGCAGACAATGCAAGGACTATAAAATCCATTGCATCATTTGGTTTGAGGGTTGAGTTTATTTTAATTTGTTAAATTTAAGACCAAATTGATAGAATATATAAGTAACAACGACCAAATGTGTAATTATACCAAATATTTTAACTGCCACATCAGCTTCTCTGTTAAATATTAACGAAAAGTGATTTGATTAAATGCATTTAAATAGTTGAGTGACATGATTGATAAAATTTCAAAAATATTGGTCAAAATGAAAAGGGGCAATAGTTAGAGTGGTCATTGATATAATTTACCCTTTACTTTAAATAAATTATATTTAAATTTTTACTAATTTATAATTATACGTTGAGTTCTTTAAAATTTAAATTTTTATAAACTAAATTAATGATTTTGATCGTTGCTCGCCTGGTAGAATTTTCATAAAAATTGAACTTAACAATTTAAAAATTAAAGTTGGAAAGAAATTATTAAGATTAGGGTGGGAAGATGATAAATTTGTCATTAAAAAATAACTTACAAAATTAAAATTTAAAAAATATTCAATTAATTTATCAAGCAGTTCCAACCAATTACATTTAAAATATATCTGGAGCATAAGTTAACTAGGCAATTTTCATAAAATGGAAGAAGAAAAAAAACCCCACATGCTCCCATAAATTGAAAGAAAAAGAAAAGGCCAGGGGAAGAGTTATTGATTGGAAACCCTAACTTTGTCTCCCTATTCTCTCTACCCAACATACATCCTTCAATCCTGGTAGTTCAATTTCAATTTTAATTTTATTTTCCTATGTTAAAACAAAACCCTAGGTTTCCCCTTGAGTTCCTCAGCTTAGCACAGAGCCTTAGAAATTATCTGATTTCTATCTTAATTAGGTACTTTTGTTGATTCAATATTTGGAATGATTTGAATTCGGGAGATGCTACATTTTGTGTAAATATCTGTTCCGTCCAATCGCCAAAGATCTTTTTCCGTTTAGGCAAATTCCGGGAGAGAAGATTTTGGGGGTACTTAATATTGTAATATTTTGTTACCGTTTGGCTTTTCTGGTAGATTTACCTGAATCAAAGAATGGAATAGCCTTGCATAAGCTTTACCTTCATTTATGTTAGCCGGGGGAGTTTTGAATTAGCTTTCTGTCGGGGGTTGATTAACTATGGTGATGCAATGATTAGAGAGCATTGGGAACTTTGATGGTGATACGACATATGAGAATCTATTAGCAGTTAGCATTTTTCAGAATTTTGAGTTCTTGATTAATGAATTTCGTTGGGAGCAGCTAGATTGAAAGTATTTGGTCGATATTCATCTTTAAGATTTTTGCAGAAATGAGCTTAGAAAATGATCGACTTTCATTAGATCAGCCTGTGGAGTTTAGTAAGGAATCTCAAAAGTAATTCACTTTCTCAGGATTGAATAATTTTGTTTTATTTAAATGTTTTGCTTATGTTTTTGGGTGAGTGATGCTGATTGCTGATATCAAATTTGCATTTTAATAATGCAGGACATCGAGAATTTCGTATACCAGAGAATTTTTGTTATCATTCAGTGAACTGGATGCTTGCAAGAAGTTACCCTCAGGATTTGATCGATCAATTTTGAGGTGATATTTCTTTTTTTATCATGATGTATGTTATTTTTGAAAATTATAAAGAAAGCATGAAGAGGAAGTGAACCTCATATCTTTCTTTGGTATTAATTGCTCTATCATATGGTTGGAGCAGTGAGTTTGAGGATACATCACAAGTTCGGCAAAGAATTCCTGGAACCTTATCTGATTATAGGCGTAATGAATATGGTACCTCGCCGCCTACAATAGGGGATTCAGGTAACTATTCTCGGGGAATTCATGGTCGGTGGGACACTCGCCCTGTTGGAAGGAGTGATAGAGACAATGATTCCCAACCTGATCGGGAAACGGGTAATGTTTATGAATATTTTGATTTGTGTTTTCTGCCTACATGGATTGATATGTGCATTCTACTTTCTCTTAATGGATGTGGTAATTCACTTTGTTGCCCCGAGGATGCTTAGCTATGACATTCTGTAGTTGGTTTTTATCCACTTCGTGCATGTGTTGCATATAGCAATTGACAAATCGTATTATCTTGCAAATCGAATGACTCTATTGATTTACAGATGCTGGAAGACGCATTGGTAATCAATCCTGGTGGCAGGGTCCTGAGCATGATGGGCTTCTAGGAGGTGGTTCTTTTCCTCGACCATCTGGGTATCGAGCTGGAGCATCAGCTCCGAAGTTCAGAGCTAATGATCAGTACCATCTAAATAAGACTACTGAACCGTATCATCCACCCCGCCCTTATAAGGTACTATTCTTCGTTAGTATATTATTTGCTGACATCATTTGGAGCAGTAACATGATGGAAGCTATATTCTATAATTTCTATCTAGTGTAGAATTGTGTCTTAGGTATTCTGCTAAATTTTATTTACAAGCAATTATAAAATGATGCGAGTAGCAATCAAAATACTGTTTTAATAGATGCCAATTACCGGTGTTGATATTTTTACAGGCTGCACCCCATTCAAGGAGGGAAACGAACGACTTGTTTAATGATGAGACTTTTGGTTCCACTGAGTGCACTAATGAAGATAGAGTGGAAGAGGAAAGAAAGAGGAGAAGTAGGTTCTCTGTCTAGAAGATTTCCTGCTGTTGTTTATTTCGTTTGTTATAATTTCTTCCTCTATTCTGATTTCATTGTCAATAAATTGAACCTAAAGTGTGATGGCTTTCTTCTTAGCTTCCTTTGAGTCATGGAGGAAGGAAGCGTTACAGGAGAAGAAGATTAATCCAGAAAGGCTTAAAGGTGACTTTGATATTTCCGAATTGCTAGTGGACTCCAAAGGCGATAAAGGACTTCCAAATACAAGCAAGGAATTAGAAGAACCTATGCCAGCACCAAATATTGATTTGAACAAATCTTCTCGTCCCTCACAAGCTCCTGCATACAGACCACTTGTACCGCCTGGGTTTGCAGGCTCAATTTTGGAACGGAATTTGGGAACCAAAACTTCAAAGCATTCCCATTCTTCGCAGGTAAAAGTTATGTTTGTGTTCAGAGTTTAAAAAACCTTTATAATGGATCTTCTACCTTTTGGTATGTACTATGTGCTTTGATTTGAATTTCAATTTTTCACTAGTCTTTCCTTTTTGCCATTACACGATCTTGTATTTTTATTGCTTTTTAATCCTCATGTACTTGCTACTTGTAGTTTTATTCTTATAGCAACCTTACAATTTAAATTATGTTGCCTCTCAAGTTATGATAACTGGAATGAGTTCCTTGAAGTAATGGAAGGGAATTTTTGCAATTATTTTGGTCGGAATAGAAGGAGTTTATCACTTAAGATCAGTGCACAAAATAGGCATAATTGTTAAATAACTGAAATTCTTAGGGAACGTATTGGGAAGACTTCTATTTTTCTGTTGATTCAATTTTTTTTTTATAAGAAGAGGAGGCCTCGTTAAAAACCCCTTCATGATTAATTTTTTTGATAAAAAAATTAAATCCCCTTCATGATTAATGGAATTCCTTAATCAGCGGGAGGAGGAAAAGAGTGCCTCAAATTTTATTAATACATAGAGTAGAATACAGCCAAGATCATCCCCCCTTACAACTGAAAACCCGAAAATCAAAAAGATAAACTACCCAAACAAAAGCTCCCTAACTTAGCCAATACCAGACTTAGCTAAACCGTCAGCTACCCAGCGAATTAGACCCTCCAAAACTCTTAACCTATCAGCAATATCCTTAACAAAAGTAACAAACACTGTTGATTCATTTGAATTTGACTCGCACATGCATCTAGAGTTTTATACTTCACAGATGTCTATATATTTCAACCAATTGTACAAATGCATAAATGAGACATTAGTGAATATGATATCTATTTTAAGTTCACTTATTAGGAACTCTAGATTTTACTAAGGGTTCATTGTACACTGCCTTAAAGTGAAGTGTTATTATTATTCCTGTTTAGATTGCTTAAAGATGTGGTATCGTAAGCTGCTGGTTTCTACTTGCATGTGGTTTCCACTCAGTAGTTGTACTTTACATATGTTTTTTAGCTCAAAAGTTGATGTTATTAGGATAAAGGTCGTTTCAAATTAGGTTTCAAATATACCAACTGATACTGGGTCTCATATTTGTCACTCACGATCTTGGAATTTCTTCTGTATTGCATTTCTAGGCTGGGAGTTCTGAAACTGAGGGCAGCCTTACAGATGCGAAAGGCATCCTTTTGTTGAATGGGACTTCTGATGGTGATCTTTTGAGCAAACATTCTAAACAACAGGCAGAGGGAACTTTGAATGAGCAGCAGCTTGAAAGTACCGGCATTCAACTTTTAGCTGATAATAAGAGAGGGAAGGCTTTGAATTTCTTATCAGCTTTAGATAAATCCAATGAGAGATTAAGTGTGGATTCTCAGTTATACAAGATTTCTAGTATCTCCGAAGCTTTTGAAGTACCAGTGAACACTTTAGTTACAGAAACTAATTCCAAGAACATGCTAGTGGATAAACCTTTGACTAAAACCAACCAGGATGGCCGTTCAACTTCTATTCTAGACAAGCTTTTTGGCAGTGCTCTTACACCAAAGGTTGGTGGCTCCAGTATTTTCACCGAGTTATTTTTTTTATAGAAAAAGTGCATTCAAACACATGTATATGGAAGACACCTATGCTGAATGACTTGTTAATTGATCATTTCTCACTCCATTATTATAAATAAAAGTAGGTCGTTAAATGAACTATACACATCCTATTTATGTGTGGTTTCTTTATGTTAGTTATTTTGATCATTTTGCTTCCAGTTTTCTTTAAATTATTTGACAGTGTTTAATATAATCTTGTTCTTTCTTCAGCCTAATGACAGTAAACCTGATGATGTATCAGCCCCTGACACTTTCAATTCTTCTAAGTTTGCCCATTTGTTTCTGGAGAAAGGTTTGTTGGCATTTATTACAGCTTATCTAGCTTAAGTGAATCTCCGTAGGTCTTGAGTAGTACAATAAGCGTATATTCATCTTTTAAAATTGTTGTTGCAGAGAATAAAAAACCAATAGATGATCTCTCAACTGGAAGGCCAAAAGAATTGCTCTCATTAATTCAGGGTAGCAAAAAAGGTGTTTCCCATGGTTCTGATGTGGTAGCTACTGCGCATGTAACGCCAAACTTTCCATTCCAAATCCTTGGACTTTCAGATGGGCACGTTGTATCAAATTTGATGTCTCCTGGGATTGAAAACTCTGAGCAATCATGCAATACTCACGATGTTAATAAACCAACTGCATTTCCTGCTGCCCTCACATGTGAGGATCTTGAAAAGTCAATACTGTCGGGAAGTATTGAAAATGATTCAGTGTTGCCTCCTGCAATTGAAGGCCGGAAAATTATTGATGCTCAAACTGAGAAGCAAGAAGTTAATGTCGATGATCATGCATCCCAGCATCTTCTTTCGTTGTTACAGAATAAGACAAGTATGAAAAGTGTAAAGTCATCTACTAGTCTAGACATCAAATCTTCAGAAACAGTACAAAATATTGAAACAAGTGTTGAATCTGCACCTCGTGACTCTATGGAGGTGAATGCAGAAAATGCTTCTAGTTCAGGGAAGAGTCTAACTCTAGAAGCACTTTTTGGAAGTGCCTTCATGAAGGAACTACAATCAGTTGGAGCTCCAGCTTCCATTCACAAGGGCTCAGCGGAGTCTGCAAGAGTTGATGTTTTGGAATCCAACGGCCTTCCTCTTCATGTCGCAGATGATAGTGTCCTTCCGTCCACAATTCACATTGGGTCAAACAGGACAACTTTTGAAACAAATATATTACCATTTTCTCAGAGAGAACACATTAAATTTGATGGCATTGAGGAGCATTTCTTAGGATATAATGATGTTCGGTCTGTTGTGGGATCATCACATCTACGTGCTGAATTAGGGCCTAGAGGTGGTGATCTTAATAGATCTGCTGAAATTCAGCTTCCTGAAGAGGACATTTTGATTGGCGTCAGTAATCCTGGGCAACTCCATAACTTCATGGCTGGTAATGTTAAAGCAGGGCAATTCCATTCCCAAGAGACACCACTTGATGTTACTGAGAAACTAGCAGCTTTAAAGGGTGTATTCTGGGATGAAAGAGCTGTTGTAGGAAGGCAAGAAGGTCTGCCTTTTCCTGGTTGCTACGATATGAGGGAGCCAGATATTCTATTTCTTAACCAAAATGTGCAGCCATCTTTCCCGCAGCTTCATCCTCAATTGAACCACGGAGGTCCTTTGATTCATTCATTAGATTCTCATCCTTCTAACATCAATCCTCAGATGAAATTCATGGCTCCAGAAGTCATCCTTCATCGTGATGCTGCCCCAAATCATCAACTTCCTGCAAGCGGGCTTCGTCCTCCTTTCCATCACCCTAGCAGTGGAGCAACTGGGTTCGATCCTCCAATGCATCATCCTATGTTACAACAAATGCCTATTCCTGGAAACTTTCCACCACCCTACTTGCAACAAGGATTTCCCAGGGGTGACCCACTGCCTCCTCACATGGACATTCAGGAAGAGAATCCAATGCATGGGTTTCCATTTGGACATGGCCAAAGGCAGTCCCAACCCAACTTTGCTGGTCTAGGAATGCCTTCAGGTAAAGTAATTAATACATATCTTGTTTCGTTCTCGTTCTTGTGAATTTCAACTTTGTAAGAAATGTCCACCCATTCCATTCTTGGAAATGCATACAATTTACGTAATAGACTTTCGTTAATATAGAAACTTTAATCATGTCCATGCCAAAACATTTATTCAGCCCCACTTTTAGCTTAAAAATGAAAAGAGGATTGGAATATTAGTATAATATCACGGGAACTAACTTTTACTGAAATGATAATGTATTTATGCTTCACAATTTGTTTTTCAATAATATGCATGTATATATATATGCATTTTGTTTGATATTATAGGTCATGATGGTGGCAGCGGGAGCCATCATCCAGAGACATTGCAAAGGCTGATTGAGATGCAGCTCAGATCAAACTCAAAGCAGATGAGCCCTTTCGGTGCGTCTGGCAATAGCCAAGGGATGTATGATCACGGTCACAGCCACAACCCGGAGCTGGACATGGGTTTTGGGTATAGGTAATGGTTTTCTTTTCTAAATAGTTTGGTTCCATGGTTGTGTTGATTCTCTTGCTCAAATTTGCTGCCCTCTGAATTGGAATGAGTTCAATATTCTTAATTCGGTAGGGGTTACTCTTGGTTATTGTAATTACAAATGATTATACTTGAAATGGTTGCACTTGTTTCTTCGAATAAATCTGTGACCTTTTAAATTTATTTTTTGAAAATCAAAAGCCAATTCAACATAATGGTTGCGTCTATTGAGAAGGACAGTTAGCCATAAGGTTAAATACCACATATACAAATATACAATACAAGTGGAGGCTGCCCCTTGTAATCTTGTGGAACTCACCTCTCAACTCAATGGGCCAAGCCTATTATATAGGCCGGCTACCTTATCTTTTTTAATCTAAATATATCAATTTTCTAAAATTTCAATATTAAACTAATATTTATTTTCAATTATTTATTAAAATTAATAAATTTTATATGCGTGACACTCAACTCTGATAAGATGCTTGATTAAATGTGTTCTTGCTTATATGACGTGATTTTAAAATATGCAATCAACATAATGTGCATTTGATTGATTTGGAATAATACATAATTAAACTAACATTTCAATAAATAATTAGGGGTTCCCCCCGCCCAAACAGTTATGTAGGGGTAAAAAAGGCTACCTAAATAGGTTATGGATCGACAGCAAGCAAAAGATCGTGTACGTGTATCACTGACTGTCGCCATGCAAAGCATTGTGCAAAATCAAGGCGATCTAACTAAACTAACACCTTTTTTTTTTTAGCCAAATTTTTTCCTTTCTAACACCCTTTAACCAATATTTCTTGAAATAACATACTTTCTGCTGAGGTGGCACAAAGGTACATCCCCGGGACGCGCTTTACTTAGTTTTTGCAGACTGGGATGCCACGCGTGTAAGGCGCATCCCCGGTGATGCGCTTTATATGGGATCTGCTGAGGCGGATGCCACGCTGGTATTTTTTTTAATAATAAAAAATTTATTTTTATTGTTATTATAAATTATTAATATATTATGTAAAGTGTTTCGGTTATAATTTAAGAATTATCGAATGTATTTTTAAATGTGTGTTAAAGGTGGAGTGAATTTATGTTTTAGTGTTATATGTTTCAGGGACTTTGGCATGCACTTATTCCACGCGACATTAATCGGATGAAACAATAGATCAAAACAGCTTTGACCTTATTGTAGTTATAGAAACAATGTATGAAATTATAATATTACACGGATGGTTATATATCTATTATTTTTTTATTTTGATTATCGATCTATTAATTTTATCACATAATTATTTAAATGTTATCAATCTAGTTATATGTTATCAATATTTAACGAAAATATTGATGCATAAGTTAATAAAATTAGTATAATTACACATTAAATCTTCAATACTTACATATTTTATCAATTTAGTCTTACTTTTAATTTAATTTAATAAATTTAATCCTCTAATCAGAACATGAAATGTGTCATCGTATACATAATTTTTTTATAACTTTTAATTTGTTTAATTTAATATTTTTTCTCTACGTAGAAGGTAGAATTATTGTAATATTTGAAAATTAATAATTAATTTTTTATAATAAATAATATTAATTATTATATTAAATAAATATAATAAAATAAAATTTAAATAATTTTTTAAAAAAAATTATTTAGGTGTACATACATTGAGAAATTATAGAAAATGCAATTACATTTAAATATTAAAAACAAAAACATTCATTTAAATAGAATATTAATTACATAAGGGTTAAAGATTATGTGATGATAAAAGAGTTGTACATTTTTTTCCTATTGTGCCCGATGTTTCTACAATGCCCACATCGTTTTTGTTTTGTTGACTTCTCCCGGATATCCATATCACAATGTATTCTAGTAGATTTTGGATGACCTGAGTCCTTCAATAGCAATGGATCTAGTATAATTGTAAGACAAGTTTGAATCTCATCTGGTCTCTTTCGTTTCCTATGGGCGGAAACTCAAATTCATATACCTTGAATACTTGTGAAAGTTGGTATACGGGATCAACATTATTTTTGTAGTCTAAATGCGAATGTGAGCAAGCTGCAATGACATGAGAGCATGAATATTTGAGTGCTTGAAAGAAACTACAATCGCACCACCTCTCTTACATATTAACTTTGAAAGAGTTAGCTTCAATCCCTTTACAGCGGACGTGGCATTTCGGTAACACGAAACAATTCACGGGTGCGAGAAAAATTTGTAACCAACATCCCATTTGACGCAACCACTTTTTTCTGTAAATCAACTACTAGTCTTGGGTGGTAAATATGGTCGTTTTGCAACCAAGTAAGAGCTTGTCCACCGAGCTTTGCAAAGAGTTGACCCAAACGAAAATAAGTCATTTTGACCAACGCCGTAACTGGTAAATAATACCCCCGTCATACGTATTTGTCCACATTTCTTTGCTGATGTCAATAATGTACTCGCACCCCTTCTTATTTTTTTCAAACAACTCTTGTAGCATAGACTCAAACCTTTGAGGTAATAGTTCGTAACCTAAGCCATTAGGAATATGTAATAGTTAATATGAAGTATAAAAAAGTAATACGAAAATGATAGAAAAATTGGGAAAAAGTAACATACCCATCCGCACAACTAACTGACGTTCATCGTTCTTCTTATATTTTTCGTAATAGTTTGCAACAATATGACGGACACAATAACGATGTTGAACATGAAGAGGTCTATACATTATACCCAAAGACTCTATTTTTGCTTTTATCCCGGCTCCTTGGTCTGAAACAATGCATACTAGTTCCCTGGTGACAATATGTAAACATAAATTTTTAAGGAAAAAAGCCCAGGACTCAGTGTCTTCTCCTTGAACGAGGGCAAACGCAACATGAAGAATATTGCGGTTTCCATCTTGGACCACAACCAATAATAAAACTTGCTTGTATTTCTCATACAAGAAAGTACCATCAATTTGAACAACTAGTTTACAGTACTTGACTGCATTAATACACTGAGAGTAAGTCCAAAAAACACGGTAGAATTGGCAGCGATCGCGAACCATTCGATCATTCACATAATGATGTTGAGTTTCGAACTCAACAATTATCTCAGGATTGAGTCTTTGCACAACATGAAACCAACTGAGCAGCTCGTTGTAAGCGGAATCCCATTCGCCATGGAGTTTGCAAATGACATTTTGTTTTGCCAACCAAGATTTTTTATAGGAGACGGTATACCCATATTGTGATTGTATAGCAGAAATCGACACTGCAACAACTATATGAGAGCTTTGCTTCACAATGGGCATGATTGCTTGGCAAATAATGTTGGAGTCCAAGTTGGGATGATCCTGGTTTATACCTCTTGCACAACACGTATGAGGATCGTTGTATTTGGTTAGTTCCCATAAGTTGTTCTTCCTCTTCCTCTTTGATACACGATCCATCCATTGAGATCCGTTGTCACGTTGGACGCAGTAACATACATATTTCTCCGTGGTAGATCGATCAACTCGGGACTAAACTGAGTTACGATTATTGTAACTCTTTATTGCCATCATTGCTTCCTCCTTCGATGCGAACTTCATTTCAATATGTAAATCATAGTCGTTGACTGATGACTGAAGTCCATAGTTGCCAACATCAGGAAGATCCGGAAATTCAGGCTCGCACATTGCATCATAATCAGCACCATACATATGTGCATGAAGTTCGGCTGGTGTTGTATTTATCGGAACGTCATCCTCATCATCATCAGAATGTACGTTAAACTGTGGTGAGTCAGGTTCAACGAATAATCATGTTTCAGCACCATCTGCACATGGCTCCGTAAGAGGTTCTTCTGGTGAAGATGAGGGTTCCTCCGATAATCCAATGTTGAGGTCAAATAAGTTCCCGCTTGTGTGTCCTCCCCTTGAACTTGAGACCATTGTATCATGTGGGATTTGAATAGACTGCTGTCTTGATGACATTTCCATATGTAAGTCGAAAACATTAGCAGATGAATGTCTGCCCCTTGAAGTAGAAGAGATGTTGCCATATGGATTATTGGTGAAGCCACATGGGTTGAGATCATAAGCAATTGCTGTTGAATGTCTTCATATTCAACTTGATGGCATATCATCTGGCTTTGGATCCGCCATTAATGATGTGAAATCATTACAGATCGTTGCATCGGGCTATCAACTTGATCAGCTTGGTGTGCAATGCTAAAGTGAGAGGAATATGAGAGACTACGAGAAGCACGAACCTCAATAAAAGTGACATACATTTCAATAAGAGATTGTGAACTCCCCATATGAGCATCAACCATCATAGAAACATCAACCATATTATGTCACTCATGTAGTTATGATATCATTACCTTATTATATCACTCATGTCCCTCGGGAGTACTATTCATGTCAATACCCAAAGTGGTGAAAGCGCGTTTCCCTGGGGGCGCATTCTATTATTTTGTCAGAGAATATGTTATCATTGCCCTATTATGTCACTCATGTCCCCCATAAAACTATTCATGTCAGTACCTATTAATACCTATTATTTCTGAGGCATAGTGGTGAAAGCGAGTCCTTGGGGATGCGACTTACCCACGTGGGATCTGACTCAGCAGATCCCATATAAAGCGCATCTCCGGGGATGCGCCTTACACGTGTGACATTCCAGTCAACAAAAACTAGGTAAAACGTGTCCCCGGAGATACGTCTTTATGTCATCTCAGTCGAAAGAGTACTATTTCGAGAAATATTAGTTAAAGTATGTTAAAAAGAAAAAATTTCAACTAAAATTGTTAAGTTTAGTCAAATCACAGTGATTGCTTCCTGTCCTTGTATCGTAGTCACATCCTCCAACGATAAAAGATTAAATAATAAATATCTGTGGTAAATATTTTGAACGGGTTAACAATAATAAATGAAGTATTTATTTCGTTGTGACAACCGACAAGTTGCCATTAATTCTAAAGCTGAAAGTAAAATATAATTAAAGCTTTTCTTTTAAGATGTGTTTGGTCAAATGCTGGATACTCGTGGCTGCTGCCGTATCTATTTATAAAAATTCCTACCTTTTGTTTAAAGTTGCTATGGCAGGTTTCTAATATTTATGACATCATCCTTCAAAATTATTCAAAAATTGGTAAAAACCTAAACTTATCACAGATAAGCATGCCAAATGCCACCAATGTATTATATACATTTAAACCCATTTGAATATTTGACCCACAGCTCAAATTACAGGTAGTAGGTTTGAGGGCTACATTTCATGGAGAGTAGGTAAGGGTTGAAGCTTATTTAATTTTATAAATTATATATGGAAGAAAAACTAACAAATTAAATGGATAATTGAATTTAAATTAAAGGAATAATGCAAAAAACAGTCATTTTAAATATTAAAATAATTGTTACGAAAATGATTTATTAACGAAGATAATGTAGCAATTAGAAAAACAAATATGTGCTGCGTTTAAACGCAGAAACCCACAGGAGTTGGGACGTAGAAATTTGACCCTTTAGGGACCACGCTCCAACTAGAGGCCCAAATCGGCGACTTTCCGTTGCTTTAGTTCTCGAAGTTATCAATATTTGTCAAATACTCGAGAAGTTACTTTCACGCGCCATAATCTTGAAGTTATTGACGACCTATATACCGTATATGTAATCGGTTAAACTCAACTTTTTAAAGGAATGTTTATCATTAAAAACACTATGAATTTAAATAAAAACTCTTTCGTAAACAGTTTGATATCGTTTAAGTAAGATTTTATATTTGAGTTTATATATATATAAAATTTTCATTGAGAGACTCACTTATCAAAATTAAGTGTGTGACCCGGATCGATTTAAATTAATTAAGGTAAAACTGTAGAACTGGAGGACACAAAAATTAACCCTAAAAATTAATAAATATATATTGATAAAAATAGTTTTAATAATTAAAAATATTATTATTTTTATAAATTTTAAAATTATGTAATTATATTTATAAAATGTGGGAGGGAGAAGAGGGGGCAGTGGTGTGGTTACAACGCTCCTTTCAATAGCGTGGAGGTGACTAGACAGCGATACTCTGTATTGCTGTTTTTCTTTCATATTTCATCATCTTCCTTCCTCTCCCTCGCTCTTATAAACTCCCCCATTCATGTCCACTTGTTTTTCACTTCCCTCCATATCAGCCTTATTGGTGCTCTCCTCCTTTTCTCTCCTCCACCTATTATTTTTTTGGTATCTTGTTTTTCCCCATTTTCTTTCAAATTATCAATCTTTTTCAAAACCAGCATTATCCCAATTCGTCCTCTCTCGAATCTTTTTCTCTTCACGTTTCCCTGCCTTTTTATCCCCTCCCACCACCATTTTGCACGCATTCTCCCCGAATCATCTCTGTTTTGGGTTTCTGGTTCTCTGTAATTCCCTAAAAAAAACTAAAGAAGATTCTAAAGAGAAATGAAGGTCTGGTTCCTATTTTGGGATTTTCTCTAAGTTAATGACTAAAACCATCTGTTTCTCTTTCCTGGGTCTTGGTCCTTTTGTATATACTTTTGATATGTGCGTTTGTTATATGTATATATATTCATAACTTGATTTGCACTGAAGCAGATCTCTTGTGTTGTATGTACAGAAGGTTGTGTTGAAGCTGGATTTGCACGATGACAAAGCCAAGCAAAAGGCTTTAAAGGCAGTCTCAACTCTTTCAGGTACATAATCTTAACAAAGCTTTAATTTCTATGGAGTATCGAACACTTGCGCTCGAATTTCAGTAAAATAATTCGAGCTGGCCTTTTAAAAGTAAAATGATTTCACCTTTGGATATATCTTGGCAGGAATTGATTCGATTGCCATGGATATGAAGACAAAACAGTTAACAGTGATCGGCACAGTCGACCCCGTGAACGTTGTGAGCAAACTGCGCAAGTACTGGCCAACCGACATAGTATCAGTGGGTCCGGCAAAGGAACCGGAGAAGAAAGAGGAGCCAAAGAAGGAAGAAGGTGAAAAGAAAGAGGGAGAGAAGAAGGAAGGAGGGGAAAAGAAAGAGGGGGAGAAGAAAGAAGAAGGAGAAAAGAAAGAAGGGGGAGAAAAGAAGGAAGAAGGCAAGAAGGAAGAAGAAGGGAAGAAAGAAGAGGAGAAGAAGCCACAGCCACCACCACCAGACCCCGTTTTGGAGCTTGTCAAGGCTTACAGAGCATACAATCCTCATATGACCACTTATTACTACGTTCAAAGCATGGAAGAGAACCCAAATGCTTGTGTTATTTGTTGAAATGACCTGCTTTCTCTCCAATTGGTGATGGAATTCAATGTCATCAATGAGAATATACATATAACTCCTTTGTATATACCTGGTGATATGCCTCTTTCAATCCCTTTTTTTTTGTTCATCGTGCGCAAGTACTGTGTTTTGAATAAATGAAATTTTGGAATTTGTTTCGAAACAAAGAAGATGAAGCAATAGCTTCACATGCTTGACAACTCCATGGCAATGGCGGCCCACTGTTAAATTCTTATTTGGAGATTTATTTCCTGCGTCTTATAACATGTTAATGGTCATTTATTGATTTCTGGATCAATCAATCAAATCTCCTACGTAAAACTGAATGGTCCCTATGCATTGGTCGGTTCCTTCAAGTAATCATTACTGTTTTTCTGTTCTCTCTCTCTCTCTCTCTCTCTCTTATCAGAGTTTAGCAGCCATTAACTGTTAGCTGGAGAGAATAAGGAATGCAGTTTCACGTCATGTAATTTTCTGTCTGAAAGGCCCATATTTTTTCGGATCGAATCTAATTTTTATTAATGGAATTAATTAATTTTTTTATTTAATAGCTAACTGAATTCAACCTTTTTTAAAATATTAATTGATAATATTTTAATTAGACTAATTTGAATATAGTAAAAGTGTTTTTTATTTAGATTAAAATTTAATTAGATATTGATAATTTAATGAGTTTAGTGTGGTTAAAAAGAAACTCTAAATGTATAACAACCTACGTGTAATTATAAAATCATATATTAACATGAAAGAATGCATCAATCGTCACATTTATTCTTGAATCTAAAAGCTTAAGAATCTCCTGTAGTTCCATCACTTGATTTGTCATTTAATAGCTCACCTTAATCTGATTCAGATTAATTAATTAAATTTTTGTAAACAACGTAATGGAGTAGGAACAATAATAACAACTGTTTTAAGGCAATATCCCACGACCACGTGAAGACCCTTGCCATGGCATTGTACGATTTCGAGTATTAAAATTGAAAATCCATGTGATTCATTAGTGGAGATTAAACCCTAGCAATGTTGGTGGTGAGCAAAGATAAAAGGAATCAAAGCATGAATCGTCGTCAAATTTTCAGCACCGTCACTTCAATGGTTACTCTCACGTTAGCCCTGTTCTGTCCTCATCTGGTAATCCTCTGAATATCCAACACAAAACACCAGACAAAAGCATTAGGGTAAATTAAGTATTTAAACTATAAGTTTTGATATCTTTTAGTATTTAATTTTTTATTTTTTTTAAATGTACTAAAATAAAACAAAAACTAAAATTTTGATAGCGAAATACTAAAATGAAATAAAATTAAACTTTAAGTGTGAATTTGAAAAAAATTAAAAATTTAATCATTAAAGCATATCATAAGAATATAGCCTTTCAGTAAGCCATGAAATAAATGGCTTCTGGATTACTTGAAGCTTCACAATTTCGTGGAGAGTAATTAATGTGACGATGCACATGCTGTGTATGATCACATAATGTTCCATGCCATGCCATGTATGTTTGTCTCAACTGTTGTCGTCTATATGCTCGCGCCACCAAGGTAATTAAAAATAAAGGCATGGAAATGGAATGCCATGGCCTATCAAATGATCTCATGTTGTCGACATATTTGTGTCGGTCTGAAATATTCCACCTAATTTATACTTTGTGAATTGGATTATAATTTATTATTACAAGATCGTTTAAAAACAAATATAATATTAGGGATGAGAAACTTTTTTTTTTGTATTCGATGAATTTGATGGAATAAAATAGATATTTTATTATGAAATTTGAATTTTGGGATAAGATTTTTTTGACACTTATACGATTAAGTCAGGTTTGAAATTAGGGAGAACTCGTTGGAACGAAAATAATGCATAATTGCGTGCATCATAGTCTTCGATGTCAATTTTTTTTAAGGAAAACATCGGTATCACGGAGCTTAGTTCTAATGGTTTAATAATCTGGGGTCGAATGAAAAGATAGAAGATTTAGGTTTTAGGCTGCTTTAAGTATTAGTTGTGCTCGCCCGGACTAGTGACGAGTGAGGGGAAATAACGTGCGGAGACATGATGGTCTCATCGTATAATATAGAGGAAGAGAAGCTGAGGCGAAGGCGTTTCTTTTGACAATGTTTCGACTTGTCCGGTTCTTGGTTCTGTCGACCTAGCACGAACGCCCTAATCCTGTCGAGGGCTACCTCGACGGTCTCGTCGTCCATGTTTGCGAAACAGACCCGAAACCAACCTGGCTCGGAGCATCGGAACGATGAACCCGGAGAAACATTGAGTTTCACTTCATTGATAAGCACACGCCACAACTCTAACTCTCCCTCAAGAGATTGTTCATTAAGTAGCGGTCCCATGTCCATCCAGAAAAACAAACCAGCATTGCTTGCTAAGCAAGAAACCCGAACTTTTTCCAGACCCTTGGTGAACACAATGGTGCCTTTTGGCCAACCTCATGGAGCTCTCCCTCAGGAAATTCCCCACGAACTCGTCTTCCGAAAGCATCGAAGCAAGCAAATATTGTGTCTGCGACGAGACTAACCCGAAACTCGACATCCTACGAGCACAACGCGCAACTTCGTCGTTGAACGAAAACACGATACCGACTCGAAAACCCGGGATCCCCATGTCCTTGGACAAGCTGTAAACAATGCGAATGAGATCACGTTTGCAATTATCCTTGTCCTGGATAACCTCAGCAATGCTAATGAATCTAGGAGAGCTGAAGACCCTTGCGGCATAGATTTCGTCGCAGACAAGGTGGATGTTGATTTCATTAACGAAGCTGACCATGCTTTTCATCGTCGGGTCCAGGATTGTGCCTAATGGGTTCGAAGGTTGGCTATGATGACTCCTTTGACGTTTATGTTCCATGTTTGAGCTTTCTTGTAGGCATCTTCCAAGGCTGCTCTCGTTAAACGGAAATTGTTTGAGCTTTTGCAGTCAACTGGAACTATTTCCAACCCAGTGCGCCACCTTAGGTGCCGGGCAAATCTGCATAATTGTTTAAAGTTCAAATTTCGAATAGAAACCCCTCTGAGTAAGAATCAAAAGAAAATGTACACGCAAATGAAATTACCCTGCATAATAAGGAGAAGGTACAAGAAATTAAGCGTCGCCTGGGTCGGCCAGGCAAAACATGACTGTCTCGTTAGCTGCAGTGGCTCCGCCGCTCATTACTATACGGTTCGCATCGAATGTAACCTGGTTTCCTCCTACCCTTCCCATAAATTTTGCAGCAGCCTGAAGAAAATAACGTTCGTCATCACTCGTTTTTTACACTTAACTAATATTCAGCAAAAAAGAATGAATATTGCGTTATTTTGGTACCTCTCTGAACTGTTTGAGATCGTAATAATCCTGAAAGATTGCAATACCGTTGAACTTATCAACTCCTTGAGCAGTGCAGATGGAAGCACCAGGGTTTTCGAGAATCCATTTCTTGATCAAATCAAATCGAGCTGAAAAATGAAACAAAGATGGATATTAAGCAGATGTAATCTTTGAGCATGATATGTATATAGATATATATGTGTGTGTGTGTTGTGTTTATAACACACCTTATTCTCAGCAAGTCCCATTTGAAAGACACCATGGGGATTCAGAGTGGGATGAAAAGGGTTGCTGTCGTACGCTTTCCACCCATCAAAATAAGGTGAATTCTCTCCATGGCCGTCGTTAGTGGCCATCTTAGACAAAAGATTCTTGCTTCTAAACTCCATTTCTTTCTACTACTACCTTGCTGCTGGTATAAGTTTCAAAATTTGCCTACATTGCAAACATCGAGAGACTTGTAGTCTTATTTATATAGGAAGAAAAGTCCAATTTTCAATGGCTTGTTTCTTGGTCCAAGCTGCTTTTGTACTAGCTTGGCGTTAGCAGTGATATGATTTTCCCATCACTTTGAGCGCATAAGTGAATGCCTTTTTGGTCGGTTGTCAAAACTTATCCGTCGTTAAAATTCTCTACAAAACGTTTTCTTTGATGGCACAGTTTTCTGGAGACAAATGTCATGGAATATGAAATTGGATCTTTACACGTTTATATTTTTGTGTAAACAAATAAAACTTTAAAAATGTGAAAAGACAGAAAAAGATGGAATTATATCTTGTTGCCTGCACAGTGCCATCAAGTCAAACTGATATAATATTGATTTGATTTGGTTAAACCATGTTCAGGTCATGGATTTCTATTTAAGGGAGGCCAACAGCTTCAGTGAATTGAACTTGGCGTCTCTCTTTCTGGTGATACTATAACACGTATCACGTTGCTTTATTCATACTTGAATGCTCGAATCCTTGGAAACCTCTAATGAAATAATTTTATAGACTAAACAAAACATCTTATAATCATGGGATCATTTTGTAACTTTTGATAATGAAGGTTTAGTTGAGACCATTTGTAAACTGTATCAAGGGAAAAAAGAGAGACTAAAACAGAGAGAAACATACCCAGAAATGGGATTTGGACGGAGGGAGATTGTTGAAGCTGCCCTTCTTTCTCATCCTGGTGATACCAAAGCCACTGTATTCTTCTCCTTTATCTCCATGAGAAGGGAACACATAATTCTTACCCCCAACATCGCTTCTCCTCCGAGAACCAAGAAACCCTTTGTTCCTTCTCTTGCTAGGAACCATCGCTTCTCAAAGCTACTAATATATACGAACCCATTTTGTTATGATAAATTATTTCATCAGAGGTTTCCCAAGGATTGAGCATTCAAGTATGAATAAAGCAACGTGATACGTGTTATAGTATCACCAGAAAGAGAGACGCCGGGTTCAATTCACTGAAGCTGTTGGCCTCCCTTACCCCAAATAGAAATCCATGACCTGAACATGGTTTAACCAAATCAAATCAATATTATATCAGTTTGACTTGATGGCACTGTGCATGGCAACAAGATATAATTCCATCTTTTTCCTTTTCACTTTGTTTACACAAAAATATAAACGTGTAAAGATCTAATTTAAAATGGGTGTTAATGTTAAACTCAGAAACAAATCCTTTTATCTGTTTATTTATAATTCAGTCGAAAATATGTTTATATCTTTTAATCTAGAATAATTTAACATAAACGCGTGCGTACGCATGTAGTATACGAGCCTCTATAAAGTGGGGTTGGAACCTCTTGTTCTTTATGTGCAACGACGTACCGACAGTGATGAGGTTTTTTCTTTCCGTGATTATCAAATACATTACAAAGCTGATTAGTTTCCTCTTTTTTGTAAACGGTGTAAAAGAAGTATTGATAATTTTGAATTACATGTAATTTATATAGAAACTAATGATTTAATTTGTAATCACCTTAGCTTAATAAAAAATTATATTTCTATCACCTTAGCAACACAAGCCGTCGGGAGAATGACAAGCGTGAGCAGCCGAAACTTGATCCCCCCAACCCAATTTCACTTGTCCACAAATAATTTTAAATGCAGAATCGACGTTGGTCTTTAAACCACAATTAATTGGGCTAGTTTACCAATTCTTAAGTCATTGTTCATTACCACATACACAGCTGATATAACACGATCTTCATTTTGTAGCCATTTTATGCAGTCAAGGAAGAAACCTTGTTTCCTTGTACGAAGCTTCTTAATTTTTCCGATCCACCAGCAGAAAGCCAACCGGTGAGAATCTCCATGGTTTGATTGTCAGGACGGCAACCGCTATCAATCATACCGTCCACCAGTAAAACCGCATCATCCGACAGATTATTCTCTTTAAGTCCTTTGAACATTGCATTGTATGTGGTGGTATTAGGCTTCACCCCCTTTGCTTTCATATCATCCATCAGAGAGAGCGCGGCTTGGACGTCGTTAACCTTGCACAGAGATTCTATAAGAATGTTGTATGTAGCCGTGCTTGGTAAAATCTTTGCTGAGGTACTCATGTCATCGAAAAGCTTCCTGGCTTTATCGAGTTTTCCGTTTAAGCAGTATCCGTGTATAAGAGCTCCAAACGTGGTGGCCTTAGGGGTGAGACCTTCCTTCTTCATCTGTTTCATCACCCTATGAGCAAGTGTAAAGTTCCCAGCTTCGGAAAGACAAGCAATCACAGTGTTAAATGTGACAATGTTGGGCTTAACTCCTGCTTCCTCCATTTCCTTGATGATTTCATTAGCTTTGTCTATCTTCCTCATCTTGCAGAATCCACTAATAAGAGCATTGTAGCATCCAATGTCAGGATGGAACCCGGCTGCTTTCAAATTTGAGTAAACCTTACCGGCATCGTCCATCCTTCCAGCTCGGCAAAAGCCAGAGATCAAGCTACAGTAAACAGTAGGATCTGCAGAGCATCCACTTCTCACCATTTCATCAAACAAATCAACCACCTTACCGAAATTATGTGCTTTAGAGAAAGCAGTAACTAGAGCAGTATAAGTAACTGAATTGCCCTTTACCCCTTTCCCCTGCATATCTCTGAAGAATTCAAGTGCACTATCAGTCCTCCCATGTCTGCACATGCCATCGATCAATATATTAACGGTGATCACATTAGGTGAAACTCCCTCTTCTTTCATCCGTTCAAACAATTCGATCCCTCTTTCGATCTCTCCAACTTTACAAAATCCATTAATCAAGCAATTATAAGTGACTGTATCAGGTACAATGCCCTTGCTGGACTTCTTTCGTTCCATCAAATGCAACCCTTCTTCCTGCCTCCCTACTTTACAAAGTCCATCAATCAAGGTATTCATGATAACAATGTCGACTTCAATAGAAACACCATCACTCTGTTTTGCCTCGACCGTTTTGTTGAACACCTCCATCGCATCATCAACCCTCCTTAACTTACATAACTGATTAATAAGTATCCCCAAGGTAAAAGCATTGGGCTGAATGCCATACTCTTTCATCTCGGCCAAAACGGCGTTCATTCTTTTAAGGTCTCCCTGCCTCCCTAACCCGGACAAAAGTAGATTGAAATGAAAAGATTCAAGGGGTGCTCCCAGTCTTAGCAGTTCGTGCATAAAATCCCAAGCTTGAAAGATTTGCCCTCTCCTACATAAACTAGAAATCAATCGGGTCAGCCACTTTGTCTTTGGAAAAACACTATGTTTCCCGAATTGTAAAACCAACTGAACTAACTCTTCATCGCTCAAGCTCCTCCCTTTCCTGCCTGCCTTGGTCAAAGCGTAAAAAACAATGTCCCCAGTAATGTCATTGGGAGGAACCTCCGATAACGGTTGAAGCATTTCATCGAGCACATTGAGCGCGAGGTCAACACGACCATCTCTTAACAGAGAATCGATCAAAACACTGCGAACGTGTGTGTTTTTAAGAGAAGGGTCGAGTTCGTCGAAAACAAGAATCGAATTGTCCACCATTTCGAGCCTCCCAAAGTACCGAATAAGAAGCGCGGCGGCATCGACAGTTAGAGGAACTTCCCATTCTTTTGAAGCTCGATACAGTTCGGGTAACCGTGATGCAGCATCGGGTCCTCGACCCGCTTGTTCGAGAAGGGCTTGGAATGAATGAGAAAGGAATTGGGTATCTGGAGATGCAGAGTTTTGACGAAGATGTTCGAAGAAGTTGAGGGCTCGACAATAGGAAGGCAGGCCGCGAGTGATTTTCAAGATGAAACAGGGAGGTAAAGGAGGAGACGAGAATAAGAGCGACTGCAAGGGTTGAGAAGATGACCATTCTGGATGTGGGGTTTCGAGGAGGATTTGAACTGCTTGGTCGATTTTTCGTTCATCGTCCTGCAGTGGCGTTAGCGGCTGTGGGTTGGATTCGGTGCAGAGGCGACGGTGGGGTTTTAGAATGTGGCGGCGGAGGAGTCTTGAGTACTTCGATAACGGAAGTATGGTGTTCATTTCTATGGCTGCTACAGAGAATGGAGCACAAGCAGCAGCGATGATGTTCTTGAAGTTTATTCTGTTATTGAGTTGAATATTGAATCTAAAAAAGTATGTTCTTTTATTATGGCCGAATCACATCGCCGTTATTTTGAATGCCGGGCTTGAATCTAACTGTTACATGTTGGGCCTTATAGCAAATAAGCCCGAGTGTTTAGGGTTAAACATTTAATCGCGTCTAATACAGAAAATTCAAGTCATTTAAATTTCCAAATATTATTTTGCTTTTGGGTAAAGTACACTAATGGTCTCTCAACTATATGTTATTTTTTTTGAGTCTTCTAACTATTAAATATTACAAAATAGTCCCTCAACTATAGGATGGTGCTTTGTTGAGTCATTCGACTATTAAAAGTTATATTGATCATCTAACTATTCATTATGTTCCAAACTCGTCATTTTTCATTAAAAAATTAGTGGTATTATGAGCTGGATGTTAATATATTGTGTGAGATATTATAGTCGTTTGAGATTATGGGATCATATTTATCATATCTCAGACAACAAATTAATATCCAACTCAGACAACTGTCAAATTTTTGGAAAAAGATAAATTTGGAACATGATGAGTAGTCAGATGACCATTTTGTAACTTTTAATGGATGGGGACTCAACAAAACAACATCATATAGTTAGAGGATCATTTTGCAACTTCTGATAGTCAATGGGCTCAAAATAGCAACACCATATAATTGGGGGACCATTTATATATTTTACCCTTTGTTTTTTAATCACTACATATGATGAGTCCATAAGGATGATGGAGGGTTAGTCCCTGCCTTGAAAGATTAGACCATCCGAACCAATGACAATGAACCCGATTCCCCGTTTGTTTATGTTGTTAAAAAAGGGTTTAGGGTAAAATATTTTATGACACGAGACATAAACAAACGGAGAATTAGGTTCATAATCTAGATCATCCAAACAAATGGTCACCTCATTCCCAGATTATGATAAATGTTAACGCTTTAAGTGTTTCAGCCGGAACGGGCGTTAAAAAAGTATGTTAAGTGACATATATTGTAATTTAGTAATTTTTAAAAAATTCAAAATTTTTATTTTCGAAAAAAACTTTATTTTTTTCTAAATACAAAAAAAACCAAACTCCCTAAACTTCTAATCCCAACCTATTGGTTGACCGGAGTCATTCTCGAAGACCCTGATAGCGACATGGGAAAGGAATCAACGATGGGTGGTCGAACAACCAACACCTAGGTCGGCGACAAAGAGTTAGAAACAGTGAAAATGACAACGTCATTGCTTCATCTTCTTCTCATTTATGTTTCTCTTTTATCACAGTACGACCCATCGACTGCCATTGTCTTGTCATCAAAGCCCACCCATCAATCGTAAGATTTCACTTTCGGCCACCCCTTTGCTATCGGCCAAATAGGAAATTAAGTTTTTGAGAATCAGGGTTTTTATGAATAATGGGGTATTTTGTATAAAATAAAAAGTTTAGGTTTTTTAATACAATAAAACTTTATTTTTTAAAAAATAAAATAAAATTTACAAATTTACCAGATTATGACACGTGTCATTTGACAAACTTTTTAACGGTTGTTATAATAGAGACATCTAAAATGATAATTTTTATAACACTAGACAATTTGATGAAACGAAAAACATTATGGGCACCTATTTAATAAAATCGATTCAGTCCGGGCACTTATTTTCCAATTAAGCCTTAAAAGATGTGCCGTCTACATTTATTTCCTGCGGTGGTTTTCCACTTGGACTGCTTCTTTCAGAGGTGGTTGAGCACAACTATGAAGGAGAGTCTCTGATCGTCCCAACACCATTCTCGGGAGCTGTGTGTAGATGATCATTCCATCATTCCATGGCGGCCACAATAGCACAAGAAAGCCTTAAGATCCCCATGACTCGCATCGCACCCTCTAACCACGGTCATTGTAGAAAGACAGATGAGCATTGGAGTTGTGGTTTTAATAGTCTTCCTAGTATTTGGTACATCCGCCATTGGCAACTTTAATCTTTTTTTAGCATTGATTCCTTGATTAAATTGAACAGCTATTAATAAATTAGCCCAAAGCCTAGGCACCATCCCATTCAAATGACTTACTTTAAAGGCAAAAGAGAAAGCGAAAGGGGACATCTTTTCTTTCTTTATCAAGCATGGCATAAGCATCTTTTAACAAAGGGCTACCAGTTTGATTACAATTAGTCCCATTTTCCGGCTCAAGGTCACTTAACCTTGTTGTCTTATTCAATGAGTCTTAAAAAGGAAACATGGTTAAAATATAAACAAGAGAAAAGAATATCCTATTCAATGGTTGAAGTTTCTTTTTCTTTTCAAAAGAAATCTTTTAATTTTTCGTGAATTGTCGTCGTATTCGAACGTCTCATCACTATAATTCAAATCATGAATACATTTAGCAACACGAACCAATTTAACTCGATAGTTAAATTAATTATTATTATTCTTAGAGGTCGTGGGTTCAAACACCAACGACTACAGTTGAGACCACGAATAACGACGTAGTGAAAGTAACCCCGGAATAATTTCTGCCGTAGAGTTTTTAGATTTAGGTGAATATGAATAACATTATTGTTATTATTAGTATGAAAAAGGTGGATGGTATTAAAGTATTTGGGAGAGCGTATGAGAAAGGTGGGAGCCAATGCTCTCTGCTTTTTCAGCCTTAAAGAAGCATAAAACCATGCACGGCTTAAAAAGAATAACCATCAGACTTTAATCTTGGCTCCATCATGTTGTTATTTTGTTGTGCTTTTTTCATACACTCTAACCCAATTTTGGGGGTTAAAGTCTTCCCCCCATGTTATTATTATCTTTGTTCATCAAATGAATGTGATTAAACTCTTAATTGCTTAGATAAACTACCGTTCAGGTCACTTTCATTTCATTTTTCATCGTCAAAATTTAAAAAATTACGTTTTAATCATTTATGTTATTGATTTGTTATAGTTTGATCATTGAACCGTTAATTTTGATAAAGCGACAAAACGGATATTGGATTAACGTTTAAGAGACCGAAAGGGAGTGAATTGAAATTTATGGGTTAAGAGAATATTTATGTTTTTACAAAGGATGTGAAAAATGAACGAAGTAGAAATTTAGGGTTAAATTGATATTTTATTTAAAATTTACGAGTAGAATCAAAAATTAATCCTTTTTCATGTCACACCATCAAAGTAACGGGACTTAACGGCTCGGTGAACAAATTATAACAAATCAATAAAATAAGTGACTGAAACATAATATTTTTGAAATTTGATAGAACAAAATTGAAACAAAAGTGACCTGAACGAGTATTTATCCTTTTTTTTTACTGTGACCACTTAAACAATTACACACACCGAATGCAGTTCTGTGTAATTGAATGTTACATTGAATTGCACACAAGGTATTTAAGTGGAGCCTCTGGTTTAGGTCTCAGCTAATGTGATTTTAAGGCTCGTAGTTAGAGGACAGCTGGCGGTTGATCAAACAAATTAAAAGGGGAACTGGTTGTTTACAATTTGTGGTCCATTACATCGTAGTTAAATTATTCGTATTTAATCTTATAGGATCGTTTTTACTTTTTAAGATAAATTAAATTCAATAATTCGAATAATTGTGTTTATAGGGTGTGGGTCTGTCGCAAATAATTAAGAAGAAATGCATACGAGTATTAAAATTAGGGGGTAAATGCATCGCGTTTGATGAGTAAATGTTGCATGTCCCACTGCAAAATAGTTTTAAATGAAAAACTTTATTTGAGTTTGAACGCTTTTCCTTTTTGTAGAGATAAAAAAACAGAGAAAGAGAATTCTCCCTTTGATTTCAAAAAGCAAGAAAAAGGCACCCTTTGCTCTTTCACTTTTCTTTCTTGCAATTAGTGTTCACAATAAAAAAATTACAAAAAAATAATATATAGTCACACGAGCAAAAAAAAAATTAACTTAATTATTTTTTTAACGCTTTCGATTCCTAAGGCTTTGCTTTAATTCATCCAAATCGACCTATGTCACACACCTAATTTTGGTAGATTTTCTGCATATATAATGACTCAAACTCGAGACTTGTTTAAATAATATCAAGCTGCTTACTATATGAACCAACCCGTTGCTAACCTAACTTAATTATTTCAAGAAATGCATATAATGTTTTTCCTTTCAATTTTTTTTTTACAAAACGAGTCGTATTATAATTTTTTTGGATCGAGTTATAATAAAAAGGTAGAGAATCAAATTATCCCAATGCACAAGAACTAAATTTTAAATTTAAGAATGATAGAAGGACCAAATTTTGAATTCGACCAATGCGAAATTTAAATGATTAAATAAGTTGGAAGAAGGGGGAGAATCACAAGAAATGCCACCCTGCTGAGTAATAAATTAAATGCAACAGCTGAGGCGTCATCTACTCACCTTCTCTTCCAAAATCTTTGCCTTTCTTTGCCAAATGGATTCTTCCTTTAACCCCAAATGTCAACTCCTCCACTTTCATCCCCTACCTATCTCACCAACTTAGGCATCGGCTATGCCATCGTCCTCGCCTTGGGTTTCCTCGTCCTCCTCTCCACTCTCCTCCTCGCTTCCTACATCTGCTGTCGCTTCTCCTCTCCTCCGCCACCCGCTTTTTCCCCTAACCCAATCGCAGCCGCCAACTCCGACGGAATCATCCTTCCCAGGATTGTTTTTCGTCGGCGAAGAAGATATTGAAAACGACGAAGAAAGCGTTATCGTCGTGGGGCTTGACCGTGCCGTTATAAACTCTTACCCCAAGTTCCTGTTCAGCAAAAAGGTGGCTGCGGCGGCGAGTTCTAGTTCTGTGAGCACCATATGTTCGATATGTTTATGTGAGTATAGAGATTTGGAGATGTTGAGGATGATGCCCGAGTGTAGACACTATTTTCATGTTACTTGTATTGATGCTTGGCTGAAACTTAACGGCTCTTGTCCCGTTTGTCGGAGCTCACCACTTCCGACTCCCATCTCCACGCCCTTATCGGAACTCGTACCTTTGTCTCAGTACGATGGTGATCGA